ATTCTGTGAAGGTCTGCTTTCGAAGCAGAAGTGAGCTCCTGACTGCAGGACCGTCTTCCCTACGCTATACTTGTCCTTCTTTCAATAAGCAGACTTAGTCCTTTTCGTGAACCATACTCAATATCAAACAAAATTTGGTCTTTTAGCTGTCAGTCCTATGAATGCATTGGTAAGACGGCGTGCACTGCTTTTAGCATCTGTGATAAAAGTTGAGCTATAGTCAGACTTCTCCAAATATCACGTTAAAGATATCCCTCCAGACCGGAATCTTCCAGGCTGCTGGTGAACAGCAAATCCACCCATAGCGTGGAAAAATTCCAAGGTGAATGCACCAGGGCAGAACTAAGACAGGATCACCTGAACACAGACAGACGTACTCTGCATTCAACATCAGCAATGAAATTGGGACCAACAGGCCTGAAGACCACAGGCAGAAAGGCACTTGGACATCATCAAGTGTAAGAACACAGCTGGGGTGAGAGGTCTGCGTGAAGGTCAATGAAATGATGTACTGGACTTCCAAATTACTTGGAAATATAATATATAAATGATGTCCAGCAACGCGGCAGGGCTGGTGGTGGCTGGGACAGAGGCAAAGCTCAGCGCACGCAGGGTGCCGTGCCGTGGGACGGGGAGCTCAGGTGCTGCACCGAGAGCGAGCGCGGCTGAAGGAGGGGACAAGGGAGCACCCGCAGCCGCTCCGCATCCCCCCTCGGGCAGAGACCCCCAGCATTCCCACCTCCATGGCAGTGATGCGGAGGAATCCAAGAGACAAACAAGGGCATCCAGAAGTGAAAGAATTCTAAGACAAACATCGACCACGTGCGCGTACCTCGCACATCGGGTTTGTTGAGATTTTTCTATTTTACTTTTTACTTCTTTGATCTTTTCTCTCCCAAACTCCTGCCAAAATTACTCCGTCTTCTCCGCGTCAGTGTTATCAATTTTCAGTCTAAATCCTACAAGTGCATGTGGAAGGTGAGAGCATCATCTTCATTAATGTTATCCAGTCATGGGGCTTTTCAGTGCCAAGTACAGGGGGAAGCAACAGAGAAAAATACAGAGAGACACAAACCGGGCGAGCAGGGGGTACCAGAGACAACACCCAAGACCAAGAGGCTCCAGTCACTAAGTGATGGGCCACCAGGACCCTCCAGATAGCTCCGGGGAGGGCCAACATGAGCTCTGTAAGCAATATGACAGTGAAACAGAGGAAAATGGGGATTTGGGATATTTGGGGGGGTGGGAGCTGAGGGATGATGCAAAGCTTATCAAGGAAAGTTGAGGGGAAGGGGGTGGGGGAGGATCCGAGTGGGGGAACTGAACAAAACCACAGCGCCAAAACTCACCCCGCACACGCAGCCTTCGCAAACCATGAAAAATACCACATCGCTAGATGCTCAAATACCAGAAATCACCAGAAAATCAGCATTTTGGCTGCAAGTATATAAAGTTCGCGGCAATTCGTTTCATTCTGTAGTATTCAGGAGCGCTTGGCCTTGATTTTCCCTAAGGGACCAAGCAGACTGGCCAGGTTGTATGAGAAGCGCCCAACACCTCCTCACGGGGCAGATGCTCGCCCCGAGGAGCAGGGCTGGCTGATGCGGGGTGTTACGCGCCCCTCCAGCAGCAGAGCAAGTCCGAAGCATCCCATCGTTATCTGCTATTCGTTATTGTTATTCTTTGGTTCCCCCTCCCCGTGCAGGGCTTGGCTATTATCTCTAGACCGGTGAAACAGTCATTTGGGGATCCAGTTAACAGTCATTTGGGGATTCCGTTTGCTGTTCATATCATTACCGCCGAGCAGGAGCGTGCCTCAAGTTGTACGTCCCCCACATCCACCCTGCTTGCTGCTGCCAAGAATAGACCGCACCTAGCAAAAGAGAAGCCCGCCCAGCAGCTCAGGACCTGGCCACACCAGGCTTTACACAAACCTTTGCAGTGGAGAAAGCAGTCGCGTTTCTCGAGAAGGGCACGCCGTGCCTTGCAGGCTCTGCCTTGGGGCAGTACCCCGCCACCACCATGAACAGACTCAACACCAAGACACGGAGCACTCGGTGCATTGCAAATCAGTTCTGGCTACTTTAATTAGGCAAGGTTTTGGGAGAGGAGATGACTGGGTACTTGGAAACAAAGGGACAAAAAAGAGGAACAACAAAATCGCATTAATAAAAATGAATGTGAAATTTAGTTCAACTGCTAGCTGCCATTAGGAATTTTCCTCCGGAGCATCTCCTGGCCACCAGCATTAAGCAAACACCTCCAGAAACACCTAATCCTTTGCACGTTACTTCGCAGAACCGACACACGCCTCGGTTATGACTCTCTAATCTGTTTTACATACCTTAATCATCAAACCTAACCAAAAAAGTAAAGGAAGATCCCAGCAGCCTACCAGTCTCCTTACCACTAAGTTCAACGACACCGTAATCCAGTTCAGTGAACCAGCCAAATCACACGCACAACTTTGCTTCACTCACCAAATACTTCACCAGAAGCCTCCTCTTGTCGGAAGCGTGATTTACCGGACACCGGGCTCTCCTCCTCCCCGCTGCGGTGCAGCAACGCGTCGCGTGGGGAACGGTCAGTGCTGTTCTTCAAAGCGTACTATTGCTAGTGGCTACCGGAGCCATCATGTCCTGTTGATCACAGATCCTCCAAAGGATTTCTCCTTCAACGCAGCACCTTCCCAGTTCCACCTTCACTGGGACTGAAGACGGCAAAGGGGTGCTGGGACTGGCTCAGCAGGGCTCAACCTCTCCCCCTTCACTGGCATTCTGGGTTTCTCGCTGCTCCACGGAGGACACCACCCCCAGGCTACGCAGCCCCAAGGAAGGAAAGCCGAGAGCAAAGCTGACACGGCCTTGGTACGCGGGACACAACATGCCTTTGGAATAACTCAGCGGCTAGCCTAGCCTCCTAATTAATACAAATCATTACCTTTAACCAACTTACTCCTGCACTGATTTGGATAATACTGGAGCTTTGCGGAAGCTGAACATTAGGAAATGTAATCAGTCTTACCTTGCAGATCTCCCGAGCAAAACCACCTGAGCTACCACAGCAACTCCCACTCTGTTCCGTCGTTCGAATGCGTACTTAAACTTGACTTTGCTTAGATTCGATGTCTCGCCATTGAGTTTGCCTGGGATCCACCCCACTAACAACGTGCTTGCAATCTTTCAAAAGGGACTTTTTTTTTTTACATCTCCAATTATACTGTTCCTCTCTGAAACTTTGCGGCACAGCTTTGCTACGTCACGACACAGAATTCACTGACAACGACTCAATTACTTCTCCACTACCAGGTCTAATTCTTTCCCCGAGTCGTGATGTTCTGACAAAACACTGCTTCCCCGGCCTGGGTTTAGGGTCTGCGTTCTTTATTCCTAAAATGTAAAACTTTATACTTCTCCGTAGTGAAACCAATGGTGTGAGGCTAAGTCCAGGTTACCAGCAGATAACCACCTCCCCGCCATCGCTGGTGACACCTCTGGCAGTCCGTACCTTAAGCGTCCACGTCATCAATATGGCCCTTCATGTACTTCCACCCAAGATACATTGAAATCGGGTCAACCTCCGCTTGGTACAACGATGGTCAACGTTAAGAAGCTTGCCAGCTGTCTGGCAGTGGCGTTTCTGGAAGCTCTGAGATGTTTTACTCCGACGGCACGTCAGCACCGATGCACTGCTCCCAGCGCGACGTCCTCTGCGGCCACGTCGGATCTGCCGCGAGCTCGAGGAACCGCGCGCTGGGTTAGAGGGAGGAGACCGCGAGGATGGGATTCAGCTTCGCTAAATTTCTGACTATGAGGACGCCTTTTTCTGGGCAATTCTTAGCCGATTCCCTTGGTAAGCTACTTGGCACTTCTAAAGCAGTTTCTCATGTATTCTGTATGTTTTAGGATGAGATTATTGTCAACTTAGAATTTATTAATTCTCTCTATTGAGCATGGCGTGAGACAAGGAAAGCGGTTCCAGCAGAGACTCCTACGCTGGCGAGGCCTATGTGCAGGGAGAGGAACCCTATCTTATGGCACAGCCTGCAGAGTCAAATTTACAGAAAATCAAGGAGAGTGTGAGGGGCTTCATCCTAGTAGTTAACTGGGGAAAAAGGTTTCAAATAAAGATGATTTTTAAAAATGCCAATTGGATAC